CTGTGGCCTCCCCTGCTAGCTTCCGGGAACTGAATCTCGAATGGTAAGCCTAAGTAATTATTGTATTTGATGTTTGTGTTTCATGAAGTCTTGCACAGTTCACGCTGACAGTTTATGCGGCAAGTTTATGCACGTTTGCAGGATTTGAGTCAATGATCTGACCTAGTATCAGGTTTGATATAAGCTTACAGAACTTTAAAAAGCCTTCAGGTATATTTGCTCACCACAAATAGAAAGAAAACGTTCCGAAGAATATTTAGTTATAAATTTGGCTGTAGAAAGAAAACTTTGAGCGATTTTCTTGCTTCGAGGAGTTCACCTTCAAGAACAGTAAACACCGCGCCAGGAAGCCGGCTAAAACATAAACTTAAGCTTTACGCTTAAAGACTCAGGATTTTTAGAGACACTTTAATACTTGTCTTCGTGAATGAAAATTGTTGTCTTTGTAAATGTCTCACGGAATTATATCTCTTTTTTTGATTGTTAGTAGTCTCTCTTGCAATTTTAATCGCTTGTCCGTGGCGTTTGTTTTCATCGTTCATGACCATCACTTGCAGGAGTACTCAAAAATGTCGCGCGTATCGAACGCTTTATAAGATTACACATCGTTATAACTGAAACCATTAAATAACAAAACAAATAATAATAAATTCGCTATTATGTTGAAGCGTAACTCTGTTAAAGTTCATTCAAACACTCGACCACACTGACAGCTTGCACTATAGAAACGAGAACCAGCTGGCCGTATGGGTGATTTTGGAAATTTTCTGAAATTTTTGAACGGTTTGGCTCGTCCTGAATATTGACTGAGTGCAATTTGTCTTGAAAAATTGTGAAATACTGCATTCTGTCCGAGCTCTGTATGATAAATAGTACTGTTTCACCTCAAATGTGGTGTATAAAAATTATAAAAGGTTGGTTTAAACACCCCCAGATTTGTTGGCAAGAATTTGTAAAGTAAACCTGTCGAACGCAAAAAAATTTGGCGTGATTTGTTTTCCAAGAATTTGTTTTCGAGGCCTAATCTACTGTGATCTTGAATGTGATCGAAGATGTTTGCTATTTTTTGGGTGTACATATAAGGTTATCAATTCGATGTAAGATGTTTCACTCTAAAATAACTTAGCCTTTCCCTCAAAAGTCACATGAATGTGCCCTTAAGTTAAATGATTTGTGGATTAAAAGTTTATTGTTTGATTTAAATTATAAATTTATTAAAATTGGAGCTTCGCTTTTAGCCCTGGCTAAATCTATATATTATCTTATAGAATGTATATTCAGTTTTTTGCATGACTTATTATAATGATATATAAACTTAAATAGCAAAATAAGTACCATATGAATCTTTGTTTCCTCTCTTGTTCTTTGTGAATTGTAAATAGATTTTAATATATTTCGTATCATGCTTGAGATATACATGAATGTCATTTATTCTCCTCTTTAACATTGTAAAGCCCCATGAGCTCAGGATATGAGCGCTACGGAAAAAAGCTATTATTACTATCATTAAATTAACCACAAAATGTAAAACGAAAATGTTGCTTTCGATAACAAATTTGTCACCAAGGAGAGCTTAAAATTTCACTTAAGCCTGTCGTGATTCAAATTGTACACAATTTCGCATGATGTACTTACAGTCATGTAAAGACACTTTAAAGCCGCCATCTTGAAAGGCCATATATTCTGAACTGAGTACGCGTCTGAAAACATCTCCCTTGGGTTTTCTTGCCATATCATAAAGTTGAGTTGTTTCTGTCATTATTTTCAGTAGTAATATAATATCTTTTTTCATTTACATGTCTTCCATGTGATTTTCGTCAAAATAATGGCAAAAAACATTAGCACAGGGAACCTATCCGGCGTGGTATATCATTATTGCTTTATCGTTAAGTTGACTTTTTTTAGTCATTGTTTTCAATGATAATATGGTTTCTTTTTTCATACACATGCCTTTTATAATATTTAGATCAAAAATGGCAAAAAACAAGGGATTACAGTTTTCAGCACAGGGCGCCCATCATGGAAGGTTGTTAAAGAACCGTCACAAAACAAATCTTCGAGAGGTAGCTGTGGGCTGTGTCCGCTCTGTATAGATCTCGCCAAAATTTTGCACTAAGCCACCCTACTATATAAGGGGAGAATGTCATTGTTGGGATCACTTTGAGTGTGAGCCGGGATGCAAGGTTTTATTGAATTTTTCTCCAAACTAAAAGCGCGGGTTTTTTTTTTGAGAAATCTAACTTGAAATCCGTATTCTTCAATCCAGGAACGGATTGCGATTCTTTTCTAGAATTAAAAACGATTTTAGGTCTAAAGAATCAGCACTCCGCGCGGATTCAAATTTAAACCAGATTTTTGCGATTCGTGATCTGTGCGTGATTTTGGGCGCAGATCCCAAAGATGAACACCTAGTAAACTGTTACAATGCAAAAATTGATGCTGGACTTCAGGGTTCTCATTAAGTGTCGGCAGCCGGCTAAAAAACCGGCTGCTTGGAGGTTTGAGCCGTCTACTCTTTGGAGGAAAAGGGCGAAGTGAGAGAGTGAAAGCCTGAAATTGCCACTTACGTCCAGAAATGCACGCATTGGCGAAAATGGCGAAAATCGCCAGAGGGCTGGTGATTCAACATACCAAGCCACCTACTTTTACATCATAGCTGTCTGTCTACTTTAACACTTAATGAGAACCATGGGACTTTTAATTTCTTTCGAATACTCCGATCCCAGAAAAAAACGGAAGTTACATCGAAGTGAGGCTTAATAGCCCTCGCAGCAAATTTAAAATAATTAATATGGTGGACGATCAAGCCGATCTTTAATACTCCAGAGGACAGTCCTGGTGTTAGCTTTATTGAAAAGGAGATAAAAAAATTGCGCGTTGGTTAAAATGACTCCGTATAAGTCGAAATGGTAATGAAAAGGAACTGTTGGAAAGGTAGGTGTAGTAGGTGTAAAACAAACGAAGCAAGGCTGATTTTACAGTCGGGAATATATTCAATTTTTTACCAATATTTCGGAAGGCACGGCCTTCCTTATTCAGGGTCTTACATATAATATATATATATATATATATATATATATATATATATTTCCGACTGTAAAATCAGCGTTGCTTCTTTTGTTTTATATTTTCACTTATTGCTGATTAGATCATTTATTAGGATACGGTCCTTCTTTTTTGTAAGCTGGTCCTTGCTTCAAAAATTGAATTTGTACTAGGTGTACATCATCCGGCTTCGCGCGATCGATCAGCTGTTTATGCTTTTTATTTTTAACTACAAGTTTAGCGGTGAAGACATGTTTTCATACAAAATTCGGCTCTCTCAGGGTCAACAACTTGGAAACAATGAAAATCTAAAAATAATGACCCTGACCAGAGATAATATTCACTATAAAAAGCAAAGTTAGCGAGACAATGAAGACCTGACGGAAAATGGGGAAAACCGCGAGTGATACAGCAAACCCCTAAAAAACGTTCCCACCGTTGATTAAGCATTTGCTGATGATTTAACGGTTCTTCCCACGTTCGTTCCGACTGATACATTAGAACACCAGGAAATGTGCCGATGCCGTTGCCGAATTTTCAAGTTCTAAGGGGCTCACTGAGAATGCTCTCATTTGTTCACAACCTCTCGCCTCAACCCCAGACTCAGAGATGGCCTATGTAGGTATGGTTTTAACTTACGACAAACAATCAGATTTGCTTGATGATGTAACCATTTTGATTTATTCGGGGGCATTTTAACCAAACATTTAGTTGAGCAACGGTCAATTTTTCTATCTCTTCTTCACTAAAGCTAGAGCTAGGATTCCAGGAATGTCCTCAGGAGTAAGGTAAGATCGACTTGATCGTTCGCCATGTTAGTTATTTTAAATTTGCCGCGAGGGCTATCAAGCCTCACTTCCATGCAACTTCCGTTTTTTTTTTCTAGAATCGGAGTTTTCGAAAAACAGATCCGAGGAAAACTTATTAAAAATGTAATCCTGGATTGGATTCTTAAAAAATGTACTCAATGAACAACATTGGGAGAGTTAATGCTGCATTGTGGGGCAAGTGAAGACAATTGTTTTTGATACATCTAGCTCCCACTTGGCATAGCGGCATTTTACCGGCTATCTGAGCTAACTAAGCGAAAGTCTAGTTCTTCCTTCTCTTTCTCTTTGTCAGACAATGCTACGCTCTCTCAAAAGCTTAGAGTTGCTTGACACAGAGTAGGCCTGAGCTGGAACAACCAGAAATTGCTAACTGAAGTTAATGAAACTTGCTTTATAAATTGCAAAAACATATTTGGATTTTTTATGTACAGTTATATCAGGAACTTGCGACCCAAAACAAAACAGCATTGTTCAAGTGGATGGTGACGGACTGACTTTCTCGACCCCTGGCTTTCCCTCATTTCCAGGAAATGGAACCTGCACTTGGAATATCACGGTACCAATCGGGCAGTTTATCAAGCTAACATTTTGGAGAAATTTTGGAGATTGTAAAAAAAACTTTGTAAACGTTTTTGATGCGGCAAATTCCACACTCATATCACTTGGAAAATTCTGCAACAGACGCTCCGAGGAAGTTGTGTTCTCCAACGGGAACAGTTTGCTTGTTGAGTATAATTCCTTACGCAGCGCCTCTTACAATGGATTCTTAGCCACGTATGAAACTATCAAGGAGCGACCTGCAAACTATTCTTGTTTAGGAAAAGAAAGTAGCCTGGAAGACGATCAGGGAGAATTTGCCAGCTTTTCATATCCTCTCCATTACCCTAATAACGTCAAGTGTTCCTGGCGTATTGATCGCCCGGCTGGATTTATCGTACAGTTAAAACATTTCATTCATTTAATGTACAACAATCCGAGAACTGTGAAACTGACTATGTAGAAATTAAGCAGAGCAAATACATAACTCTAGGGCGTTGGGAGGTAATTGGCAGATTCTGTGGTTCTTCCCTTCCTCCAGTTATTGTGTCGACCCAATCATATGTGATCGTGAAATTTGTCGCTGACATGTCTAAAATGTATCCAGGATTCCATGCAAGCTACAAGGTCCTCGCTAACCGTAAGTATTTCAGTGTATTACGTTATAGAAGGATGAACTGGCTCAATCAGATAAAATAAAATAAACGACCTCTAATACAAAATCTAGTAAGGCCGAACTAATAAAGAAAAATTACAATCAGGTTGTAAATCATGTTCCAGCATTGTCTAAAGGAGTTTTGATCGACGAGATCTAATGCTAACTGCTGAGCGCTTACAGCTCACCGTAAGTAGACGGATACGTGAGAGATCACAAAAAGTAATGTCAACTCTGGTAATTTTACATTATTCGTATGACGAGTCATTCGTTTGTGGTTTGTTAGCCAATTTTTTGGGGAACGAAATGTGTCGAAATTGCGCAAAGTTTTGTCTGTACGGAAAAAAAAAAAGCAAATGAAAATTGGCGCTTTAAACTACAATTGCGCCAACCCCTCAGAAAAAATAGAAGCAGGTGCTGCAGGGGGGGCGCTGGGAAGGGGGTTGGCTATGAATGTAGAAAAGCTAGTGTGAACAGAGCTTAATGAATTGTACTGTCATTCAATTTTCAGCGGCCGTGGGAGCGTGCAAAAATCCACGTCAAAACAACATCATACCCATCACGAATTCATCAGGAAGCCTCTTCTCGCCACTCTACCCACAGGACTACCCGACTAAGATCATGTGTACTTGGGTGATAACAGTACCCGAGGCATACTTTGTGAGATTGAGAATCAAGGCATTTAGCCTGGGCCGCGGGTGTGGCAGTTCCACTCTTCAGATCTTTGATGGTAAAAGTTCATCAAGCAACTCATTGAAGAAGTTTTGTGGGAGAGATTATGACCGTAATGTTTTCTCCAGTGGTCGTCACCTTGTGGTTCAATATGATTTTCGCGAGAATGTCCCTTTTGACAACTCATATTTTTTCGATGCTGTGTTTGAGGCTGTGGATCGTGGTAAGGTTTAAAGAGTGTAGAATGCTAGCGGTTACTCAGTTTTGTTGCGCGGGCAAGCAAATCAAGCGAGCAAACGTCGTAAGAAAGAGGAAACAAGAAAAGAATTCTAACTAATTGGAAACTGGAGAGGAAGCAGGAGTATGAGGGTTGCTTTTTTCTTTTCCCTACCCAGCTCTCCTTTCGGTTCGTTTAGTTTCTCCAGCCTTACCAATCTTATTTGACATTCTCAAACTCATTAATTATTCGTGCAATCAAAAAGCTAAAAAAAAAAAAACAAATTCTAGACCATTTGAGTCAGGTAGAACAATCTTCAGATACCTAATAAGACACCAGATAAAACACCATCAGCTTTTCATCCGAGATCAAACTTTTTTTTCTTCTGAGATCAAACACCTGCATTTGCATTTGCACGTCAAAAACTCGGCCTTCGTGCTTCATCACACGTGATGAAGCACTGGTCCTAGTTTTTTTTACATACTACTTCACGACTACGTGCCTGAAAAGGGACTGCTAGCAGTCTAATGCTGGCTATAAGCTTCTGTTATGTAGATACGTCATGGTCCCTATGATTAACTTAAAACTTGTAAAATGAAAGTAACTGAGCAAACAGGATTATTTCCCTAAAGCCATGAGCTTGGCAAAATCCGAGCTCCTCTTAAGTTCACAGTTTTACCCTACGTGGGCAAAAGCGGTCACTGATTCGAATGCCATTTTAGGCCAAAACAGTCATAGGTTTGACCCACATTTGTTTCGAACGATCAAAGTTGTCAGTGGGTTTGAATCTGTTTGGCCCAAAACACTCACGGTTTTCGCTCGTTCCATTTTGATGCGTCAAGCCTACTTCCCCTGCATGATATTAAGGAGCTTAAAGCAACGACGACCGCGACGGCAACGAGAACGGCAAAAATGTGATAGGTTATATTTGTAAAACAACAACTTTGCATGCTGCATGTGCATCACACTTTTTTTGTACATTTCTTAGCCTATAATTTCACGTTTTGTCGAGGACGGGAACACAAGACAACACTTTCTTTTTCTTTTCTTGAACTTTGATACAGTCCTCTAGAATTCAACTCCAAAACACTTTGCCAACTTTTGGAGAATTAAACGAGATGCTTGGAATAAGCGCGATAAAGTTTGAGGCAGCGCGAATTCACTTTTTAAGTGACGTTTTCGTAGTCGTCGCCGTCGTTGTTGTTTAAGCTTCCTATTCTTGACTTGAACACATACCTTATTATATTGTACATCTGAATCCACGAGTGGGCAAGATGAAGTGAATCCTTCGTTTTGATTGGCTTACCGAGCGGGCAAGCTCGGCTCATCCTGCCCGCTCGGGATTTCCCACGTTGGTCCCTGAACAAAAAAAAATTCTTATTTACCGGGCTTGTTCTACCCTTGGTACCAGAGGTTTTCTGCTTGTTTGAGGCGAAATGCTTTGGTGTGTGCCGCAAGCGGAACCCACGAGCGGCCAAGCCTGGATCACTCTTAAGACTTGACCAAGACCCCAAAATCGTGTAGAAAAAGTCTCTGGAACCCAAGGTTAGCTAGTTCGCTAGTTCGTTCAAGATTGCTGGATATTGAACTCGTTCTTCTTCATTGCTTTTTTATTTAGCTCGACGTCTCGGTGCGTAAAAACGCAAAAACGAACTTGGCCAATATCCAGCCATCGTGGTCAATAACGAATGTTCGTTGGGGAGGAACGTGATTCGAAGCCCTAGTAACGTCTGTGTGTGAGCTTACAAAGTAACTGATTATTTAATACCATTTTATTTTTTAATTTTAAGTACCAGCTTCTATTTCCTGTACTGAAGGCTACGACGATACCACGTTAGAGACGAAAACTGGGGAATTTGCAAGCTACAACTATCCTCTACCTTACGATGACGATGTCGAGTGCATCTGGCTCATCATTGTGGATTCTGATTACGAAATAACACTGTCCTTTGATTACTTCAATCTGTCTCGATCCAGTGACTGTTCTGATGATTATGTGGAAGTCCGTGATGGCCAGTTAGATACGAGTGAACTACTTGGAAAGTTTTGTGGAGCAGATATACCTGAACCAATAACATCAGATTCCTTGCCTACGCCAGGAGCCCATCACACTATGCGTTTGACATTCAAATCCAGTGGAAAGACAAAGTATCCTGGATTTAAAGCCAGCTACAAGACGAAAAGTAAGTTTGTAATGGTAAAAGTAACTTTTGGTTTTCTCGCCTCTTCTTTTGAACAGTAACCTACCCGACGGGGGAGCACACGAATGGGACACATAGGTCTCATGCAATCCCCAAACCCATGAAAGATAGAGGGTGGGTTATCAGTAGCAGAGATTCTTAGTTCTTCCTTTACTCCTCGCAAGATTGGGTCATTCTGTAGCTTTTTCGAGGCTCTGCTGCAGTGGAACCTCTGTTCAGGGAACACCCTGGGGACTGGGGCAACTGTGTCGACTCAATTGAGGTGTTCCCTGAATAGAGGTTAGTTGGGGTTTGTTAATAATTAACCACACATTCATCATTTAAAGCATCAAGATAATAAGTGAAAAATCACGATTAACTGCTCCCTGCTATATGGTGTGTTGAATTCCCACAAGTGCTGTACACACATTTAAGTGAGATAGCTCTTGCTGTGAAAGCTGTTATCATAATTGTGATAAGTGTACACGTAAACTTATCTTCCCACTTTTTGTTCAGTCACGTTTGGAGAGCAAAAGTGTCCCCTGAATGGTAGAGTTCCCACTCGCTTAAAAAGTTAGAGGTCCTTAGGACCTCCAGTCCCAGGAAATTGAAGGTCCTTTTTTCTTTTTAAGGGTCCCAAAACCTACTTTGTGTGTATGTGATTACAAGAGTTGGAGGGGGTAATTTGCGGTCTACAATTTTTTCCTTTGCCACAAACAGAGCCGCTCTTAGTAAAGGCTTTAAAAGCCGTACCTGATTTTTCTTCTACATGAACTTTTCGTGAGATCTTCTTTGTTGATCGGGATGGTTTTGCCAAACATCCGTTTGCATCTAGACATGTTTTGCATTTCATGTGGTCTTTTTGGGTCTGGAAAACTTCTGAGGATCTACATCAGTTTTTTTTTCTGCCCGATAGACGACTGAAGTATGTGTTGGTTTCGTCCTCGCGGGCTGAAAAACTTAAATAGTGTTGAGTGGACATATTTCCCAATTAGACAAAGTGGCGGGTTGATAAAACATGCGGGATTTCCAAGATTGTTGCAAAGATAGCTACAGATGTATGGGTAGTAACTAGTCCTTGTGCGTCTCAGTGACTCTTGCGATAAAAGAAGCGTTCGTCCTTTTCGATATTTGAGTGTAAAATTCGCACACATGTGCGTTAATGGAAACCCTGCTGAATGGTTAAAGCTGGCTTTGGGGGCCCACAAAAGTGTCCCTTTCCCCTAAATAGAGGTAACAAATATTAAGATTATAGGAACATTTTTCCAGGACAAAATTTTGTGTCCCGTGAATGGAGATGTCCCTTGAATAGAGGTGCCCTAATGGAGAGGTTCCACTGTAGTCAGGACAAGCAGAACCGGAAACGCGAGCGTAAGAGAAAAAATCTTTCGGGGACTAGGAGAGAAAGGGCTCCTCTCCCCAGTCCACGTCTTAGTTCCTCGCCTTTTTCTTTTACCTGGTGCGATTCCTCGTGCTTGCTTTTCGTATCCTTTTTTCGGACTGGAACAGACTACGGACTGTAGCAGGAGCCGATATGCAATTGGCTCCTGAGTGATGTCAAGCTGTTGTGAGAGGGCATCTACTGTTTGCAAAAAGTAAATTGAAGTAAGAAGATTTGACCCGATTCTCCAAAATGTCCTGTCGAACCCATAGTTTTCGATAGCACATTGTTATGTCACAGAATAATATTAGCAGCATCTCAACGAAATTTCCTGAAATTGTGTTTTTGGCGTAAAATACTAGCGATCTTTCGTGAAAAAATCTTGTTGCGGGTAACAGATAATGTAAACTGTTGTGATAACATCGCTCAATATAGCTTGATATAACACCCATTGAAATGGTGTGCACTCCAGATAGCGTAAAGTAGCTTTGTTTATTTTTTATCCGGCACTTTTTGCTGAGGTACAGTTTTCTGTATTTCTGTTTAGTGACCATAGCAGCCATTTTTAGCATCATGGGATATTGTGTATCTGGACTTTCTGTAACGATTTGTTTGATTGGATGCTGTTTTAAGCGCTGTAAAGCAATTAAACCTGTTTCGGAAGAACTGCCAGACGACAGAGATGAGGATTCTCCCCTACAAGAGCAAGCTACTAAACTCTAGGTTAGCTTACATTAACACGGGGCCTCTCGCATGTGATTGTTAAGATGATAATAGATTAGAGAGCTTTAGATTTGAGGACGAGGACGAGGACAACTACAACTACAAGATTTAACTTAAAGTTTTTTCGCGTATTGTCGAAAAATATTCAGCCCGGGGAGCTTCATTGTATTATTTTTCACTTGAAAAGTTAGTGCGGTTATTTTTATTGAAGAAGTTTTAGCCCTTTTCCGGTTCCAAGATGAATAAACTTCAAAAATTTAAAAACTTGTTCCCGCTACAACGACACTCTCGCTAAAACTCGTCGTAGAATGACGACGGCTGTCACGTTTTCCTGCCAAAATGACGTTGGTTCACGCAAAGCACTACTTAGTACTGAGAAAATCTCGTCCTCCTTCTCCTAGTCCTCGTCTCAGAATCTAAAGCACTCTATTAATTTAAGTCCTTCGAGCTTTTCTGTACCAGTCATTATGAAATACGCGGTCAATTGTTGCGAGATGTCGTACTGGGATTTTTTGCGAGAGAGTAGAGGAATCTGGGTCTGTCGAGTGTCGCTAAATATGTCGTGGGTAGTGGGTAGAGGTCGTGGGTCGTGGGTGTGGGTGTTGGTGTGGGTCGTGGGTGTTGGTAAACTGAATGTCGTGGGTAAAAAAAATAATTTTTCCAAAAAAAAAAATTAGAAAATTAAATAATAAAAATTTGTAAAATTCATGAAACGAAAGATCTCCGCGTACATACCAGGAGTCCTATTCCCCTTCCCAGCGGTCAGCAGAGTAAATAAGCGAATCCTTTCGTACAAACGGACACTAAAAGGCATTTAGGAGAAAAATAAAACAAACTCTCTACACTATGTAAACCTGAGGTAGGCTAAAGACAAACTGGAGACTGAACTGCTTTTTCGCAAAGGTGTCAACATTCGTGACTGAAACGTCCTTCCAGTTTAAGGAATGATATTTCGGAATCGTTACAGCAAAGATTTTGTGCACAAAACAAAAAAAAAAGAATCGAGAAAATTATATTTCTGTACGGCAATAAAATTTACATACAGTCTTGCCTTAACTTGAAAAGTTGAGTATGAAGGTGGTTCCTTCGGTTTAGACGCCAAACTTTTCATGAGCCGAACCTAATTCGAATTAAGGCCGACCCAAATTATTTAGACTGGCTGTATTGTTTCAGACGCCGATCTTAATTCAAAAGGAAATAAATGCTCATTTCAATCAAACTGCTTACAAAATAGATAATATTAATTTATGCATTAGGATATGTACATGAAATGTTCGGCGTCTGAATCAAAGGCGTTCCTTATTGATTTAGACGCCTGACTTTTCATGTTCTTAATTCAATTATTAGGTCCAGCTCATAAAAAGTTCGGCATCTGAACCGGGCCTAAGAGACCTAAGACTTTAATCTATCCAAAAATATCAAATTGCTCAAAATTATCCTAAAGATTAATTTTCGTAAGCAGCTATTTCAATTCGGCGAGTCCGAGCTGTCCCATACTTTCTGCAAATTGAACATTTCGACATATTTTATGTCTGTTTCGTTTATTTTCGCGGCGATCGCTCAGGTATGGATAAATCTTCATTGGCAAGAGGACGAAGAAGCAGCCGTGAGAAGGGCAATCAAGGAGTCGTAGATTTTCGTTTCATAAATATTTTACAACTTTTTTCTATTCTTTTTTTTCAGTTTCTTTACTTTATCATTTTTTTCTATACTTTTTTTAACCACGAAAGTTAGCTACACTCAGCCTATAGTCGTGATGTAATCACGTGAGGAAATATATTCCCTTGATTAAGTTACAACAAGAACGCGCTTACAGCGGCTATCAGTCTCGCTCTATTTCAGACCTGAAGCCCTGGAGACCGGCGCGTGACCGGAGCGCGTGACAAGCTTTTATGGCGCGTACACGGTAGTTTGGTGTAAACATAGCCTCCCCGCAGACGTCCTTTGGGGTTCGTTTGTCACGCATTCATTTCTCCCCACGGACGTCTGCTAAACAGAGCCGACTTTTACGTTCACCAATCACAGGCCGTTTACAGATTTTTGTAAAACGTAACCCGAGCCGCTTCTTAAGATTCGCACGATCAGTGAGGCTTTTGATCGAGTGTGCGAGAAATTTGTAATGTAATACAGAGTTAAACAAGTATCAGAGAGAAGCTATCCTGCAAATGTTTATAGCGAAGACCGATGAGTTCATAAATTTGCCGACGGGATTTGGCAAATCCCTTATCTCTCAAGCTTTGCTGCTTGTTTGCGACATATTGCGTGGAACTACTGGACATTACTGTTGATGTTGTTTCTCCCCTGGTAAATCTTGAAAGATCAATCTACAAAGCTGGAAAATATTGGTATTCCTGCTGTAACGCTTAGTGATATTAGCAAAGAGAATATGAGGGTTGCCGATAGAGGGACTTTCTCTGTTGTTTACGGAAGCCCAGAAGCTTGGTTGAAGATCGATCGGTGGAGGAAATGTTAGCGAGTGACTTGTACAGTTAGTATGTGGTCCTTGGTCGGCGACTTTCCCGAGCATGATTAAATATTTCGTCGAGAAATAAAATACAATGAACAATGAAAGGTTCAATGATTTATTGATTATAAGCATTCTTTCTTTCTTTGAAGGAGCGAGATTAAAGTTTGTTGACAGGTAGGTTAATTTGTCGTTCTAGCTTGAAGTTTGGACTCGGCAGCACCGTGGTCATGTTTACTTAGCTTGTGAATAAATAAAACGCAATGGGAGGACGTGCCTTTTTGCAGAACAAGTTTTCAGACAAACGTTTTTCTGCCGTTGGAAGCACATTGCTGTAGACTTCGAATTTTTTCTTTACCGACTCTTGAAAAAATATAACCAAATTTTGCGTACTCTGGTACTGGTCCTTGGTTCGCGACCCATGACCTTGGAGGAATTACATTTCGCAAAAAAGGAAACGGCCTTTGTTTTCGAAGAATGCTTTGAATATCTTCCCTATACACGTTTACAAGTTCTCTTTTCTTAATACTTCGAATATATACAGAGTTAATAGTAATTATTGTTTTCGACCGCGCTGAAAACCGCTCCGCGCTCGTGTGGGAGACTGTTGTCTGAAGTCTTTCAAAGAAAAGCAGATTATTTTACAGTCACAACTTCCGAAAAAAATATACAGCTGACTGCAGCTTTATTGCATCGTTTCTGTGATTTCTTCAAAACGTTTTGAGTCGTCTCATGTAGAAGATAGCCGTGCAAATAAATAATTCACTTGAGAATACCAGAGACATCACTTATATCACGGCGCGTGATTGGCTGATCGTGACACAATAACTAACCGCTTATTGGCTTATTCAAACAATCCAGAACGTAAAAGTCGGCTCTGTTTAGCAGACGTCCGTGGGGAGAAATGAATGCGTGACAAACGAACCCCAAAGGACGTCTGCGGGGAGGCTAGTGTAAACATTAAAAGGGAAATGATCTTATCGCCAAATGATGAAGAAGTAGCTAATTCTTCTAAAAAAAACATACCCAATTCAAGACTAGAGTACACAAACTATACCTCTGACCAAAATGGTCGAAATTGATACCCTATTTCAAACCAAAACGGCTGAAAAACCATACCCTTTGGCGCCGCGCATACCCATATAGCCTATATAAGGGACTTCCCCCCCCCCCGCGGGGGGCGAAAAACGCATTGCAGATTATGAGTCTCGCTGCTTACGCAAGCGAGACTAATAAGGCAAATAGTACATTTTTGAATAGTCTTAAAAAGATTGACGTTGGAGCCCATGTTACACTTACGTTAAAAGTTATAGCCTGCGAGCAAGCTCTCCTATTTGGGCGAGCGAAGCGAGTCTCGCGAGAACGCGCGAGCGAGCGGCGAAGCCGGGAAGGGCAGAGGAACGACGATCTCTCATAAAATTTCATTTGTACTTCGCTCAGACGAAGGGAAATACCATTGGCTGAAAAATGACGATCCGGAAAACAAAGTTGATTGATAACAGGCCAAGCTGGCGCCCTCTTCGTCTGTGTGACAAGTTTGGTTCTCAGGGGGATCAGATTGGTACCAAGAACATTCTTCAGCCCTCAAAGTAGACGAGGGGGCTCGTTTGATTTAGTTCTCGCAAAGAGAATATTGCGAGCCGAAGATAAGTCGGATCGAGCTTGTAGTTCTTGTGGAAGGAAAATGAAAACCCTTCATCAGTTGTATTCGTTTGTGTCAAGCGCCTTGTTTAGTTCTGAAAACGAGAAGAGTAAGAGTGAAGAGAGATTCAAGCGCCCGGTTCAAGCGCTGCCTTCCAACGTCGGTTTCTTCGCCCGATTGAATTCCACTGGGTAGAAAAAATTCAGAAACGTGTACTTGACAGTGTAGCTGTGTAGCTTGACCGTAAAGAAGGACAAAAGAAAGAGTTAGTAGCAACTGGAGTACAACTTAAGAGAACCAAGTTCAGGAAAACGCTATTCTCCAGTGCCGGAAAGGACAAACATATAATGTTTTTGTTGGTGATGGCGACGGGGAGTCGGTCTTCTACACTGCAGTATGGACGACTTTTCAAAAGTAAACGAAACGAGAATCAAAGTATTAAGTTCCCATCCGAGCGGACACGTTGAAGTTCGATGTCCCCGTGGAAAAAAACATACCAGTGATTGAAAACATTGCTTTGACGCTGTTGCAAAAGCGATTTATAAATAAATAATTCTACGCGCCCTCGGCTGTCTAAACTTGACAGGCGGTTGTCACTTTTCTAATCAGCGGCACGTTTGCGGTGACAGTTTTCACGCTTTTCAGAATCCCGGGGTTTCCGGGGTGGAAATGAAAATTTATGAGAGGTCTTTGCAAGCTCTCCTTTCCTGGGCCCCTCGCTCGCGCGTTCTCGCGAGGCTCGCCCAAATAGGAGAGCTTGCTTCGCAGGTTATAAAAGTAATGGAAAGGGCTTTTTCTTTCCGGACTAAAAAGCTTTTACGTCTACACGTATCCGGATTGTTTCTAGTCCCTAGGACTCCTCTGGGAATAGGTGGTTTTCACGTTACGTCATCG